GTATTATTTTTATCCTTTTAGTCCTAAATATCAGTCCTTCTATGGTGGATACATTAATATTACTGGTTGAAGCTGCTCTCCCAAAACTGTTGCCCATAGGTTCCATGGTAGCAATAGAACTAAATCATGATGCCTATAAGGGTTAGTTAGCTTTTGAAATATTTCCCATTAATTATACTTGATCCAAGAATAGATGTTGAAAAATACAATAGTATTAATATTTGAATACTGGGTTTAGGAAATAATAGATATATTTTTGTCTTGAATTTGGTACCCTCAGCAGTGTTTATACAGACAGTTATGTATGTGTTGTACATCTTTATCTACACTTATTCTCTTTAATGATTTGTTGTTACCTTTTGGTTTTGTAGATCTACCATGACATAGATCAGCCCCTTTGACAAATGCAGTTTTGAAAATCATGTTATATAACCAACTCGCAATGGGAGCTTCCAACACCATACCAAACCAAAAAACTAAAAAAGTACTTAAAGCTTATCTTTGAGGGGTTGTTTCTTTGAATCTGCAGCCAGTACCAAATAAGTAAATAACTGAATCATGGTTGCTCAACTCCACGTGATATGATGGGATGTCATCACTTCAGAGCTAGTGCCTAATGGTTCGCAAGAGGACTACTACCTGGGCATAAAGCTTTGTTTAGTTATGACTCTCCCTGGTGTGTGACTTATGCACAGTGTCAAGACTCTTTACTTCCTCTTTGCAATGCTATTATCCCTTTTTTTGCAGAAATATTTTTGTTGTTTTGCCATTTTCCAAGGTCTATATTTATCACATTTCTGTTGAACTGACTCCATACTATCATCAGGTTGTAGCATGGTATTTGTGTTATTATTATTATTTTATTTATTTATTTATTTATTTATTTTTATTTTATTATTTTTATTATTATTATATTATATATATATATATATATATATATATATATATATATATATATATATATAATATATATATATATGTAATATATGTATATATATATATATATATATATATATATATATATATATATATATATATATATATATATATATATATATATATATATATATATATATATCTCTCTCTCTCTCTCTCTCTCTCTCTCTCTCTCTCTCTCTCTCTCTCTCTCTCTCTCTCTCTCTCTCTCTCTCTCTCTCTCTCTCTCTCTCTCTCTCTCTCTCTCTCTCTCTCTCTCCATAACAGACTGTGCACTGCCTGTGACTGTGACTCCACTCTTGTGGACTAATGGACAGAAGCTGAAGCTCGTGAAAAAGCCTCTTCTTGTTACATGTCGACCAATATCTAGGCATAAAGCTTCCTTGAGTGATAACTCTCCCAAGTTTGTGGCTTGTAGGTCCGGCCCAAAAGAATATATATAATGCTGTGACAAGACTACTTGCCTCATCCCTGCTTTACTATTGGCCCTTTTTCTGCTGGGGCTTTTTTGCTTTTTTTTCAATTTTCCAAGATCTATATTTATCATGTGCTATGCTCTATCACAATGATAATAGACTTTGTTGAGCTGACTTCAAAAATACTCACAAGGTAGTAACATGTTTTTGTTTTCATTAATTTTTTTATTTTTTATTTTTTATTATTCAAGGCCAGCTGAGTCAATCTCCCTCCAGGTGGTTTGTGTTCTAATGACAAGATGTCTCCATCTGTGGTGGATGCTACAATCACCTCAGTCGACACCGGCACAGCCTCGCTTGGTATACTTGCCTAACTTAACTCCGTACCAGCGCACCTTGCTACATTGGTGACCCAGGAAACGACATGAAGTCCAATGCTGCCTCCATCTGCCTTCCACCCTTTTCACCAAATGAAGCCCTTACATGGTTTCAAAGAGCCGAAACCCAGTTCAGGCTTAAGAGCATCAAAAAGGCGACCAGCAAAGCATGCCATGTCATTGCTGCCTTACCTGAGAAGATTTTTCCCCGAATAGCTCGCTGGTTAAATACCCAGCCAGACGAAATTGAATATGACACACTGAAGCAGGAGCTGTTGAAGGAGTTTTCTCTTTCTCCGTCTGAGAGGATGCAACAAATTTTCAACATCCCCAACATGCCACTCGGAAATTGTACTCCAAAACAAGTCTGGCATGAAATCACCACCCTGTGCCACCTCCCCACCAGAGATGCAGAAGGAAAGTTCCACGAAGTGGACCTTAAAAAAGAAATTTGGCTCCGCTCTCTCCCCAGCAACATCAGAGAGAAGTTCCACGACTCGGACAAGACAGCCATTGAAGTCCTCCTCACCAGAGCCAACGCAGTAATGGAAGCTCATCGGCAAGCCTGCCTTCAGTCAACAGCTCTCGTTTTCCCGTCAGTCAGTACCGACATCAACACAGCAACATGAAAGATGGCCACTAAGTAACATAGCCACAATACCGATCAACGTAGTCAACCACCCCCAACGCTCAGCTCTGCCTCATAACAGATGCCAGCAAAGTTTCGGTAGGAACTGCCCTGGAGCAAGAAACCCATGGCAGACGACAGCTCCTGGCATCCCACAGAGATCTCCTGGCAGTACACCTGGCCATTACGAACCTTTGCTGGGCAAAAGTCACCATCGGAGATACGCCTATCCTCTGCAATGCTAGCACAACCAGTCCCTCGCCAAGCCCAGAGAATTCTTCCCCAACAACGGCCCGAGCGACACTCAGCTAGAGGACCTCCACCAGGTAGCCTGGCAATTCGCTCCCAGCAAACCAATCCATCGCTCTCATCACCCACCTTAAACTCAACCAGGACGGCCAAGTTCGTCTTTTCAGCATGATGACGCCACCAACATACTTGCCTAACCTGACTCGGTACCGGCGCACCTTGCTACACATCATTCACCCCTTGCCAACAATTTCCTATAGTGAGACGATCCCATTACCCACCCCTCAGCCTGATTATTTCATGATTAGATGTCCCTGCCACTAAAATCAAGCAGGTGAGTATATGTAAAATAGTTTTACATCATCCTCATTTTTTATGCATCAATATATAGTAAAAATTTCATATTAATAAAACAAATTTTTTGTTAACCTTTTATTGTTATTCATACTCCAGCAGGACTGCACACTGTTCTTGGGCTCTGGTTCTTCTTGGGTTCAATAAAAAAGTGTTTTTCAATGTTTATTATTTCACTTTTTTGCACTTCCACTTTTGAGAGTATTGATATTAAGGGTTGTTATCACTAAACAAATCATAGTAACATCATGTAAATTCATGACTTTTCATTATTATTCTTTGAGTCAGTTTCAAGGAATAGGCCAATATCTGTTCTTGGTACTGGTTTTGTTACTGGTGGCTTAATTTTTGCAAACCTGTTAAATGCCAGCTTGAGGAGTTTTCTGTATTTAAGCATTCATTTCAAATTATTTTTTAAAACATATACATAGAATATGGCAATTACTTGCATAAAATCATGGCATACTTCCTCAGGTAAATAAAATAAAAAATTTAAAGTACCGAACAGATGACAAAAAAATTAATAGAAGAAAATTCATATATTGTAATTAAAAAAATATACCAGTAACTAAATACTTTAGGTATTAATTTAAGTATATGGAGTATTAAATATAATGTGCCAATTAAAATTTTAGTTGTCATTTTTAAAGCAATTAATGTTTAGGATGACAGATCCATTACTGAAAGATATTGAAATACTTGAAACATCACTAATGCATTGAGGAATGAACTAGTGATACATTATGGCCTCCATAAGTTTACATTTTTTTATATATTGCAGTTTTTTTTTTAAAGCAATTAAATACCAGGTAGAAGACTACTCACTAGTGACTACAGATCTTTTAGAGTAGTGTAGTCACTTCCAAAGTAGAGAGAATCTGCATACTAGATTTCAGGTTTCTTCACAAGGACAACTGATATTAGCCTGGTCCTCCTGATTCTTAAATGCCTAAGTAGAGAAAAATATACTGAATTATCTGCTAATATTTTGGTATTCATATGAAACACATTGTTATTAGGTAATTTTATTTACAGCTTACTCTACAGTAACAAAAAGTCTTATTAACTTTTTTTTAGCGTTCTTTGACAGATTTTTATACATTATTATGCCCTTGCTTGATGATTTGGGAGAGGCTTGTCCAAGCTAGGAATGCTTGGGAAACGTCCAGAATTCTGAAATAAAAAATAGAAATTTCAATCATGTTATAATGGTAGTTAATGATTAAAAACAAATGTGCTAGACATTGAAGGCCATACAGTACAACATGAAACATAGTACTGAAAAGGGTAAAGAGTAGAAGTTAATGATTAGATGTGCTACATGTCAAAAGTCATACAAAATTCATAATTATAATTTATAATTAACATTTAGTTTATTCTATCTGATATAATGGTTATTCTTATGTTTGGTATGACGGGGTCTATTTGTTTTTGTTTTAACTTATCCCGTCTGCAAGGAATGGCCAAGGTTACCATTCACTGCTGTGGGATTTGAATGCAGGCTAAATCGGGCAAGGCAGAAATTAGTAAAAGTGGTAATGGGGGGAGTAGGATGGTTAAGAGTGATTAGATTAAATTGAAGATACAGACCTGTCAGACATTCAGTGTAGAAGAGTTATTATGAAACAACCAATGAATGATAAGGGTATAAATGGGTGTTGGATTAGTAGCAGGGAAGGATACAGGGAAGGCCACGAATGTGACAAAAGAAGGTCAATTGTGTATCAAGGAGGGATTGGAAGAGATAATGGGGAAGGAATGGGGGTTGATGTAGGTGATGCAGGGGGAATATGAGGAGGAGGAGGATGGGTGTCAGCAATCACTGAGTTTAGAGGGTATAGAAAATTTACAGGGTGGATGAAGGATAGGCATGTTTATTTAAGACATGATTCAAAAGTAGTGAATGTCCTTAAGAGTTTCTGAAAGGAAGATGATTGGATATCAATAATGAAGATTTTGTACCTTTATTAAGGGCATTAAGGGCATTTTCCCCTTTTCAACTAGCCTATCTGAATTGTATTTCTCTGGGTTCCTGTCCCT